ATCATCATCACAGAAACACATTCATAAATCTTACTGCAATGTCATTAGAATAAGATGTTCTGACTACACGTTATTAAAGCAGATGCTACCATCTGCACTGTATTGTAGTGGGATAAAAATATGATTCACTATACTCGAGACACTTGGCAAATATTTTCCCCTGTCAAACTAAGGCTTCTGAAATAAACTTTGGGTTGAAAATAGCGCAAATTGGAAACAAAATGACTTCTTTGTATGAGCAGTACAGACAGAAACAAGAAGGCATCCCCAGCTAAGTCACAATACAGACAGAAACAAGAACGCATCTCCAGCTAAGTCACCTCTGAATGTGGAGACCAACCAGACTTGTTTTCAGAAAACGATCAAGTAAAACAGCAGTTCCCGTACTGTCAGTGCTTGAAATCCAGATTAGAATTCAGCAGCTTAGATTTATCTTTAGTAATTACTTTAACTGGCATACAATCTGCTGATCTTAAAGAGTATGAAGACATAGCCAACAAGTGAATCATTTTCTATGAATATTCATACATGTTACATCGTTGCTGTAATGAAAACAAGACTCAAAGTCAGCATTTGATAAGCAACACTTGTAAGAGAACCAGACTTTGGACCTGTCTTCTTCCATTCAGCATGTCTTGACTTTGAGCATTCAGTCTTATTTCACCCCTCCAGCCTAATTCAAGATTTTGCTGAAGGAGAATCAGGCCTGCTGATCTGTTTTCTCCAAATTCACATCTGCTTCAGGAAACCATCATCAACTTAGCACCATGTCCTTGGGTGATATGCAAAAGACCTCTCCTACAATCAGCAGTTCACGCTCTGTCATTGCAACTTTTTGGAAGTCAGATCCATCATTTACCATTGCAGGCATGTTGTCTGCCGCATACTATCTGGTCACCATCAGGTTTCTTATCTTTTCTGCTCTCTGAACCACAAAGCACTCTGTTTTTCCCTGTATTCAATTCTCAACTTTTATCTTCAGTTACTTCAGGTTTTACCTGGAAAATTCAGCTGAACAGATGAACACACATTTTTATGTGGATATAAAATAAATATAAGAATATATTTTATATATCACGTGCACAGAGTTGAGAGAAACACTGATGGCTCCCTGTTAGTTTTTTGATCATCTGGCAGAGAAATGATATCCTATCTTATGCCTGTGAAGATACTAAATTTTCCTCTTCGATCAGTATGTAGCTGAATATGCAGCTCTTTCCCCTCAGCAGCTTTGGGTTACAGGTCTTCCAGACATACTAGTAAGCTACACAATATTCATAACAATCTTGCTTTACAGGTTATCAAATTAGAGTTTAAAATCCAGGTCATGCTTACAGTCCTTTAAACCACTACATTGTAACTTGGCAGATGCACAGTATAAACATAAAATCCACAAATTGACCTAGACTGGCAACAGTGCCATTAGGGTTTACTTTTTATGTTTCTTTCAGAAAGGAATTATCTTTGTAATTTAACTTCTTTGTTCTTTGCATCAATGAATTGCCAAATAAGAGCAAAGTGCTATTGGGAAATGGTTTTATAGCAAATAAACACATGAAGATGCAGGGAAACAAAAGAGGTAACTGTAATGTTACAAGGTCACAAGAGATTTGAAATAAAAATATTGTGCTAAAACTTATAGGCAGAGGCATCTAGCTACAAAAAAAGTACCTTTATTTTGTTGCTTAACGTGCATCTATTTAAGAGAAGAACAACTATAAAATACTGTAAAAGGGTGGCAGAAATTCAAGCTGTCACAGTTTATCAAAGATGTTATCACCTCAGAGCTGGTGCTTAGACCAAGTTAAAGAACAGATTGTCCAAAGGTGGGAATCTTGGTTTCTTCAGCTCTTCAAAGTAACAGGTGAGTCGATAGCACAGAATAGACAAGAGAAAATGGGAAAATTTAGAGAATTTAAAATAGCTCACGGCTTAAACTTTCCAATTTTTGAGGGATCAAGTTACTGAAGCGAAATGATTTCATACACATCTACTGAACTCTGTTAAACGATCAAGTGTGCCTCTGAGGGCAGCCATTGCTGGCTAAACTTTATTCAGTAGCTTATGAGAATTTCAAGATTGTACCTTAAGAAGCTGAATTCACTGAATTCTGAGGATGAGGTGGCAAACTGAGATGATAAACATCTCCACAGATTTGAATGATTCAACTTCACTAACAGAAAAGTGACTTCTGAAGGGTCTCATCTACTGCCCTAAACAATGTTGTCTTCTGTTGCGTTACTATTTCTATACTACTAGGTATTGCTGGAAAATGCAGAAAAGCCTTGCTTGGTCCAGTACGTTGAATGATAACATGTTTGCATCTATACTGAGTGATCATTATCACAAAACACATCTCCTTATGCATCACTTCTCTGCTTTGATAAACACTAAATCCTCTGAATCATCCTATGGACATCTAAAGTAAGAAGATGGTTGCATCCTATTCCTGTAAATATCTTTTTTTTGGGGAGGGGGGGAAGGGGGAAGGTGGATTTTTTGCTAACTAGCAAAGCCACACTGAGGCTCTGCATTACCTGTACGAGCATAGTCTTTTGCTAATCTTACCAGGTCAAGGCCCTCATTTGTTTGAGCTGAAAGGCTCAAAACAAATCCCTAGCTGTGGGAAAAATGAACTAAGTTTCTGGTCTGTCTCTGAATAGTATAATAAAAGTGAAAGTAGTGTCTAGGGATAAGTGCTTTATAGGTTTTTGTGGGAGTTTGTTTGTTTTGAAGAGAGAGAGACCAGAAAGAGGCAAACAGGAAACAAGTTAGGTGAGGGCTAGAAGCAGAGCTGCACATGGAAAAAAAAAAAAAGAGGTGGGTCATTATCTTTTGTTCTTTTTCATTTTCCCGTGTTTTGCACTCATAGCACATTCTCCCTCCGCCTTTCCCCCTTGTTTGCTGACCCTATCAAAGTGTTCAGGAAAGGTGATTCTTAAGGTCTTCACTTACTCTTTTCCATCTGTTTTCTTCCCATCCTCCATTCAAACACACTCTACCACATTAAGTCACATTATGCTACCTTAGAGCCTGCACAGACAGTCTAGGGTAACAGAGAGACTCAGTGTAACAGAAGCATGACGGAGGAAGCAGGGAGAATTGATTCAAGAACCCAGAAAGCACTTCTCTAGTCTATGCCTACACGATGTAGCCTCTCTTTGTTTACAAACACACCCCACCCCCCATCACATTTCCACACTGCTGGTACCACATTAACAAAGATGAAGTGAGATCAGATACAGCAGGAGTGAGGGGAGGATAGTGCTTATTATCCCATCTCTACTTATTCCTGCCCTACTTCCTTCCTGTCCTCCCTGCTTCTAGCATAGTCCTCATATGGATGGGGTTGCTGGAATGAAATCAAGATGGTAGCAGCAGTGCCCTCTGCCACCATTCCTCTAATTCCTCAACTTCCTGGGACAGGAGATGAAAGCAGCAAGGGAACACGGAACAATGCTCCCAGCCCAATTCCTACCATGCTTCAGCCACACAGATTAATCCGTTTCTGCCCCCTCCCTTTAATTTGGCACTTTTCATAGGGCAGAGTCCCAGAGGTATGATAGATAAACTGCTATGTGTTTTGCCAAGACACTTGATTATTACCTGGCTTAGGTAAATAAAGCATTTAAGTTTTCAAAAGCGATGCTAACATTAGTTTGAAACAGTTACAGGCATATCATGTGTGTCTACAACAGATATAAATATCAGCAGTCAGTGGCAAGATTAGTCTTGAGCTATCCCTCAGCTTAAGTCTTGTTATTGGGGACTTGAAATTATTTTATATTTTACAAATTATATTATAATTTTTTTAATATATTATTTTTTCCTCATATTCTGGTACCAAGCTATACTTGTCCTGAAGACAAACCTAAGGTTCTTTTGAGTTCTCCTTCTGCTCTAACTTACACTGGGTTTCCTGTGGGCTCAAGAGGTCCTTACAATTGCTTCCAAATGAAACTATCAGCAAATGGAGGGTAAAGCCATATAATTTAAAAACAACCCATATTTTCTTAGGTTTGTCCCAATTTGTCCTTTCACTCTCCTGGTATAGTGAGTTCTACTCCAAGCATTTCTCCATTAGGAAGATACAAGGAAGCGTAAAGATTTATTGGTTTTAGCTAAGTTCATACAGCAGATCCAAGTCAAAGTCAGGAACACAAGCAAAATAAATCAATAAACCTGGAAAGCTGAAATTCAGCCTTCTTTGTTCTCCCATCTACTCTTTCCACATTTCCATACAAGTTTCAGAATGACACCATTCATGCACCTGTTCACATATTCCTGTTTAAAAAAAAAAAACAAACACCACAACAAAAAACCCACAGAAAAACGCCCCTCACTGTTCCTCCTCCTGCCAAAACCCTACAATTAAAAATCTGAAATTGTAGAAGACCTTTATGACTATGGAAATACAATGTGTTGTACATGCAAATCTTCAAAAGCACACATTGCACTTCACCTATATACAGTCAGATCCGCAGTTACTGACCTACCAAATTAATACTTAACATCTTATTTTGCCCCAAGCAAAACTGAACAAATGATCATACACAAAGTGATGTGATTCCTTATCCTGCTTGTAAATTTTAAGGGGGAGGTATTTTTATCATAGTAGCACGATAACATGAGTGCTGAACGATGAAACTGGAGATCACTTGACATCTCCTCATACTCTTACCTCCCTTATCTCTGTACTGGTAAAACAGCCCATAATAGCCAATTTCATCTTCCAGCTGTTCTTTTCTGAACATCCTTTTAACTATCTGATTTCCCCCACATAACTCTTTTCTTAATTAATTTTCAGTTACAGACTGGGGCGGGGGGGAAGCACACCTCACTTCCACTTTAGAGAACTCGGCTTGCAACTGGATATCATTACTGACAGGAGAGTTTCTGAATCGACTGTTCTATGTCAATAAAACGGTTTATTTACTGAACTGCTAGTTGAACTCAAGTTTCAAAGCTTTGCTCACTGTGAGAATAAATATTTAACTTACAGGAGCCGCGTCTATTTAAAAGTCTTCTCAACAGCATGGAGTCCTTAACTCTCGCAGCAAGGGCAAAGCATTTAAAAAGGAGAAGCAACGGGCATTGTAGTCACATCCGCAGCAGGATTCGTGAAGGATCCCCTTTTAAAAAACGACCGAAGCGCCCCAGAAACCGCCCGGAGCCTGCGTTCCCCGCTGACCTGCCTCCTGCCCGACGGTGCCCTCGACCGAACCGCCGCGGCGCCTCGGGACAACTCGGCCCAGCGCCCCGCCACCTCACCGCCGA